GCAAAGGGCTACAGCAACCTCCCAACTTTGAGGCATGAAACAGGACAGCTTCTACATGTCCAGAGATAGCTGGATGAAACAACCATTAAAAAAAAGACCTTCTCCTATGATATTGGATACGCTCAACAACAAGATTGCTGTCACATAGCAGCTTACGCTGATGCCTCATGGAGGCCAGAGTGGCATTCTCAGCTGTATTTTCAGTTCTCCTTGTCATCATCAGCTCCTGAACGGGTGTGCAGAGAATCCTAGAGAGAAAAGAGGGTGGGGGGCAGGAAAGACACTAAAAAAATAGACACTTATAGTATGCTACTTCCACTTTGGTCCTTACAATAAGGTGAGGATCAAGGCACTCCAAATCCTTCCCATCACCAAGAAGGACAGGCAGTGATACACCATCCAGACACTGCTTCAGTACTTTGTTACATTAACAGCTAGCTGCTCCATCGCCCTCCCTCTCTCCTGCTATTACTTGTTTCAATTTGAGTGGCCTTGCTCAGGAAGACAAGCATGCATTTGAGCCCAGACATCTCTTATTCTGGTTGCACATCTTAGATAGCAGAGATTTTAATTTACCAGAGTTAGAAGTTGATGATTTCTCAGCTGTCTGTAGAACTGCAGCACAGACGGATCTGCTCGCACAACTTTGGGGTCAAAATCCAGAACGCGGAGACCTGCGAGGCTACGGGCCCGGGAAAGTGCTACATAGGCCTGGCCACTTTCAAAGACGCGGGAGAGAGAGATTTCCACACAGTCTAGAGACATGCCCTATACGGAACATGGAAAAGTTTGTTACAGAACAGGAAAAGTCATGCTGGATCAACAATAACCTATCCTGTGAGTCTTTCAGACTTAGTCCCCAGTGCATAAACTTGGCAAGAAAGGAGGTCCCGCGTGTAATTTAGTAACTGTTTAAAAGATAGGAATCAGTAGAAAGGAGTGGGACATTTTCCACCAAGTTATATTAGCAGAAAAGCGTCCCCTAGCTTTGTCTCCGATCACATGGGAATCTGGAGTTTCTGCACAACCAACCCAAAACTGCCTTTTCCAGTCCTTATAATTAACTGCAGGAAGAGCCAGTCCCAAGTAGCCTTTAGGGAGACCCTGTAAAACAGCTCACACTGGGCTCAGACAGCCCTGTCTGCACCAAGAGACTCCAAGGGGAAAGTGAATATGCAACATGGTACGATTTAAACAGTGGCAAGTTTTACTCTTTGCTCTGTTTTATTAAGAACAACTTATTGGAATATAAAAAGTTTTCTGAAGAGGCAGGAACCTAGTTACTTGCACTGGGCATAGGGGGGCAAAGACACTACTGAAAGGAGAGTCTGACAGGCCACAGCTGTGACTCCTGCAGCTTTCTCAGACACACAAAGGAAGCCCCAGGGCCAGAAATGCTGGTGACTAACAAGAAGAAACTGCTCTGATCAGCCCATGGTAGGAAGCAGTGCTGCTTTACAGTCCAGCACTGACCACACAGAAGCCAACTCTTTTATGGGAACTCTAAGGACATACTACTGCCCAGCACAACAAGCAGCAAAACATGAATAACAGCAGAAGAGGTGTGGCCTTTGTCATATCTGTATGAAAACACCCACCTGACTCTTGTGAATAGAAATAGCCCATGCCAGTTTTAGGGGCAACTGTTGGCGACTCAGATAAACTCCAGATGGTCCCTTGAAGACCCAGCGCTCTACCTTGATGACCTGTGTGACTCCACAGAGAAACCTCACCTTAGGCAGTCCTGTAGGAACAAGAAAAACAGGGATGTTGTCCTGACACTCGGTGGTCAGGAAACCAACAGCCTCAGAACTGTTTCTTTGTCCTTCCCATGTCAGTCTTATGAATTTTAGAGCTTCATTTAAAAAGGCAGATAACTTATCAGTATAAATGCAGAGAAAATACTTTATGAAGGTAGAGGAGCACTATTCTCTGGAAAGAGATAAAAATATCAAGATTTGTTTCAACTAAACAGACAACAAAAGAGACAGAGTGCACAACCAGAGAACAATAAAAGGCAAACACAGACTTTGCAGATAACTGCAGCTGATACAGAGCTTGACATCATAGTCCACAAGAACCGCAAACCTCTTGCTGCAGAGAAAAGCCCTGCCTGCTTGTCATCAGATTAGTCTTAGTAAAGAAAACTAACAGCAATCAACAACTCATTATCATTATTCAAGAGTTAACTCACCTTTCTGCTCACTTTCAAACCCTACAACAACTCCTCGTGCCCCGTTCACCAGCCCTTGTGACACATCCAGATTTTTAGCCAGCATCACCTAGAAGGAAAGGAAGCCCCCAAATGCTTTATAGCCTTTTCAGCTTACTTTACTTTTTTATTTATTTATTTTTGGCCAAACAGTATAAGCACAGCGGGTTGATGTGACCATGGCCACAGTCCAACAACAGAGCAACCTCTGATTTGTCTGAAGCCATGTCACATCTCTTTTTTCCTCTTAGAATTTCCAGCTAACATCCCTTTTCTCTTAGGATTTCCAGGTATATCATTTTGAAGAGCTGAATACTATTCACCCAAGCTGTTTCAGTCCACAGCTGTAGTCACACTCTTAGTACCCCTTGCACCTAGGGAATAAATTGCTCGCCCATGAACACCCAGAAGTTAACAGCACTGAAGACCCTGTGAACAGCCAAGAAACAGCTTCCTGAGATAAACAGTGCTGCTGCTAAAAGCCACCTGCCAGTCTTCCACTCCATTAGCTCACAGCTAGGAGTCAGAGCACCCAGTACTACACAGCCAACAATCTCTGGGACTCCAGATAAGCACATTCTCTTCTCTGGAGGCTTCTGAATCTGGTAGCCAATGTGCATCAATAGTCAACAGTCCCCACTGTCCATTGCACATGCATACAAGCTTAAATTCTCTGCCTGGGTCAAGGTCTATACCAAGGAGATATGCAGTATAGCCTTATATTGTCTGGCTCTGCTGTTCTATGTGGCTATTGGTCTGATCTATGTTTTCTGCTACTCTCTCTTTCCCCCCACCTTATGTCACTTAGTCTACTGGTCCTTCTCCCCATCACACACTCACCTGAGCTCCAAGCTTTAGCTCAACTCTGCTACCCACAGGACACTGAGCATCAATTAATTTCACTAGCACTGGATCACTGTCCAAAGCCTCAAAAGTGTGCACTTCTCCTGTTAAAGGAGAGATGAAAAATTACAACCATTAAACATAGGCTACAAAGTGTTTGCAGCAATCTCAGCATTTCCTTCTCACAGCCATTTCCCTCACCTCTCCCCACTCTTGCCTCTCCTTCCATCTTTTCTCCTACAGCACAATAAGGCTTGGCAAACAAAGCCCGTCAGTTAGTAGCAACTGATCTGTTACTGTTTTGAGCATACAGCCAGCTTCACTTGCAGTAAACACCAGATTTCCAAAGAGGACTAAGAAAGAACCCTGGTGCCAGACAAGGAGGCAGAGACAGAAGAGACCACAGCTCAGGCAATGCCTGGTTAGAGTGTGATATTTCCAAGATGTGAAACAAAACCAGGAGTAGCGTGGCATTAATGATTCACCCTACCCCATAGCAAGGTACAAACTTCCTGCATAATACCCATTGAGAAGTAGCAACAGGGATTTTTTTTTTTTAAAGTGCATTTTTTTCATGGGCTGCTTTGCTCCAACCCCCCTGAAATCTACAGCTTGGACTGGTGGTGTTGTGCAAACAAAGCAGCCAATTACTTCTTCCCTATCTTTGTAGCAATCCCGTTGTATCCACTAAGCTCAACAATAAAGCAAGCAGTTTCCTTTGAGGAATTCACCTGGCAGCTGTTGCAAGCGTCTCTCATTAGTTAGCTCCACATCATCCTTATGGGTGCAGAGCCGAGTGGCCAGGATCCCGTCCCGCTCGGCTCTGTTGGTGGCAGTCTGCATCAACAGACTGGCAACCTCCTCTGTGCACCTGGTAATCAGGAAAAGGGGATTATTGCTTAAATCAGCAAAGAAAGGCAGTCTTGAACAGTCTTGAGCACCAGTAGTTTACAGGTAGCTGGTTCTAGGAATAACCAGGTTGAGCTATAGCAAGCCCCAGATCTCTAAAAAGTCTAGACAGAGGTAACCACACCAAGCAGGAGAGCAGCACAAGTTTGTGCTTTCAGGCTCCCATCACCAGCTCAACATCCATCACATTCCTTAGCAGAAGTTTCAAAGATTGACTCTTTAAGTGGGAAAGTGTCTTTGTTATCAGACCAGCATGTATGAAACTAATTTACATCAACTAAAGCATTTATGGTTCCTGCCCCATCTACATCCTCGGTGGGATGTGGCTATAGTCAGACAAGCAGCTCCCCACAGCTCCCTCAATAGAGCAGGGATGATAAAGAGCCAAGTTCCTCCTCACCTGCCTAGACGGACTGCACTGAGGAGCGAGATAAAGGTCTTGTCGCTCTGCCTCCGCACTTCAGTCAATTCCATGTTTATTTGGATGCACTTCCTCCAGCTTTTTGCCTGGCAAATTATTCCTTTTTTAAGAAACAGGTAGATATGAAATGAATGCAAGAGTGAGCTGAGGGATAATTTTGTACCTGAAAGCAGAACTTGGTTTCTTCATTGGCCTTGCAGACTGGGGGCAGCTGTAAGAAGTCCCCACAGATGATTAGCTGAATTCCTCCAAAAGGGTCATCCCGTTTCCTTACTGCCCTAAAAGGGAGGAAAGAGGGAAAATGCTCTCTAGAATGTAGACATAGTCTGTTAATACAAAGACACCACCTGACAGAGCTGAAGATAATTATCTTTCATTGTAAATTAAGCAATGCTACTACAGTATTTTTTCATTATTTCTGGGCATCTTCATAACCCAAATGTTATTGCCAATCCTGGTACTTTGCTAGCTGTTCCTCTAATGTCTATTCACCGCAATGCATTTTCAGTGTTCCACCTGCAAAGAGATTAGTTTGCAGCACAAGCTCCCATATTGTGAGATACAGTCAGAAAGCACAGCGAGCCCAATCTGAAATCCAACTTGGGGTGTGTATGAACACAGCAAGTTTGGGAAGCAAGAGAGAACACCTGGGCAGGGGCATTCTGTATCTGTGTCTAGTTCTGCAGACAACAATTGACTCCAGAGTTGGAAGCAGCAACCCATGCAGCTATACCTGGGATGTGAGACAAGATCATAAACTCAAAATAGAGAGATCTGCCCAGGTACTAACCATGATCTTGGACTTCATTCCACTCCTATGCCAGTGGTTACCTTGTATCCCTTCACATCAGAAAAGGAAGAAAGCAACCTAGAAACTCGTAAAAAGTAATTTCTGTCGGAATTGCTTGACCTGACAGTCACTCACCTGGCCACAGCCTCCAGCTTGTCAAAGAACTTGCCATCCACCATGGAGATCTCATCGATGACAAGGTGCTGGCAGGCTAGCCAGTGCTGACGCACGCCAGGTCTCTCAGCCAGCTGGACACACTGCTCCAGCGGTGCCTTCCCAGAGCCGATCCCTGGGAGGAGAGAAGAGGGTGAAGCTCACGTCCCTCCCGCACGCTTGGGAAGGGAGGGTGCTCTGTGCGCCCCACGGCGCTCCCGCGGCAGCGCGTTACCCGCGAAGGCATGCAGCGTGGTGCCGCCGACGTGGCAGGCGGCCACGCCGGTGCTGGCCGTGGCGTAGGTGCTCTTGGGCGGCAGGGAGCCCACGATGCGCTTCAGCAGGTAGGACTTGCCGGTGCCTTGCAGGGGAGCAGAGAAGACCCTTGTAGCGCGGCGGCCTCCCCGCAGCGTGCGGGGT